TATAATTTTATGAACTTATTTTTTTTAAGATTTATTTATTTATGCATACAGAACTGGGGTACAGGTTAGAGGTGCAGAGGTGGTGAGAGGCTTCACCAGAGACAGAGTGGAAGTGGCTTTAGCTTCTTAGTTCTGAGCTTTAACCCACTGCGCCACCAGGGAACACCCAGGAGAACTTATCTTTAAAAGTCTATAGCTACATCATTCTGAAGACATTTGTCTGTAATTTTTCATATTTCTTTTTTCAACTTCAAGAAGTGCCTGAGAACTATTATTTTCAAGGGAGTTATGGACTTGCCTGTCACCTGTCTTGAGAACAAGCTCTCTGTCCTCCCAATAACCTTTCCTGCCCAATTTTTCTGGCAAGATATACTTCCTTGCCAACCTAGCAAAACCCAATCTTACCCAAAAACTCAATTATCTCCACTTCTGGATGACCATTCCACTTGGCTCATTTATGGTTTATTTTGCAATGATCTATTTTCTTGCTAATCTCTATATCTAGACCATTAGCCCCTCCATAGACGGGATCATGGTTTTATTTCTCACCTTGAGACACTATCTAGCACAACAGTTTAGTGCAAGGAGCTAGGATTTCTAGATTTAAATCTCACACATCCAAAAAATGTATCCTTGAACAAGTCATTTAATCTTTCTGTGAGGAAGTTCCCTTATCTGTAAAATGAGCATAATAGTAGCGACTTTAAATAACCTTTACTTCCTTTAAACAGAAAATTTTTGTGTCATAGTTACAAAAGTAATTTGGGAGGAATAATGAAAAGTCACTCCATATATAAAAGGATCAATATTTCCAGATCAAACAAATGCAGTGGGAAAGAAAGAGACTTGAAATCTTTGGAAGGCAAAAAAAAATATTCCTCTAGTGGTTCTCCATCACTTTCAAACCATGCCACCCACATCTGACACCCACATCAAGGTTTCTTTATTCTTATTTTCCCATCGGTACTACCATATCCAGCCAGCTCTCTCTGGCATACCATGCTTAGACTCTGCCTGTGAACCGATCACCTTTCTATGCATTTGTCATTTAGATGTCTGATACCAGACAAATGTGACTTGAGCAAGGACTAGCTCTTGTTTTCTCAGCTTACAACTCGGTACTAACTGGTTTCCTTAGCCTTACTCCACTTCACCTGGAAGCTTTACACGTGATCAATCTCAGACCTCTCCCCACGTGGGCGCTCTGCTTGCTTCGCCAATAAATCTTAGTGCCCTTGCTGACCCCGCCCCTCCCCACCCATTTCTCTGCCCCCCCCGCCCATCCTCTCTGCCCCGCCTCCTACTTTAGCTAGGGTCAGAAATGCGCATGCTCCTTCCTAATCTCCCCGCGGCGTGGTGACGTCTAGCGGCGTGATGACGTAGTGGTAGTGGTAGCGCGTGTTTCAGCTGGGTTTGGGGTCGAGATGTATTCTTAGAAGCGACGCGGGACCGTGGGGGTGTCCGAGTTGACTCCCCCGCGTAGATTCCTTTTGGCGTCCCCGCTAAATGTGATATTTTTTTTCCAACCAGTCGGGAGAGGGAAACGGAGCCGAGGTTCTTTGGGGACAGAGCCGGGGCCTGGGAAGGGAAGGGAACAACTACGAGCAAAAAGGGGCGTCTGGGGGCTGGGTGGGGAAGAGTGGGGAGGGTCCCTGCGCTTTGGGGCCCAACAGTGCGGCATCCAGGCAGGTCGGAGAAGGGCCTGGGGCAGCGGCGCGATGTTGGGGGCCCGGTGCCTGCTCCGAACGCTGCGCTTCTGTTCCACTGCTACCTGCCCGAGGCACACAACTTCCACCAAATTGAGCGTGCGGGAGGCTCTCGGGTCTCAGAACGCGAGTGGGGAGCGCGTTAAGGTCCAGGTTGGTGACTGGGAAGGGGATGGATTTTTTTTCTCTAAGTGACTTTCATGGCACCCTCACTTCCAGGTTTGCCTGTACTGGCAGGGCAGACTAGCAGGGAAAAGTAAGACAAGGCAGGCAATCGTGTACTTGCACACACTCTTGTTTTCTTTCGTTAATTTTTGCAGAACTGATGCCTGTAAAGTGCTGGAGCTTTGCTTTTATTTAGGCCTTCACCTGTACGCTTGTTAATCACACAAGTAAATAAACGAATGAGCCCCTGATCTCTTTATTCATTAAGCCACACCTGTTATTCAGCTTAAGTAAACTGTCTAAAGTGGGGCTTTGCATGTAACTTAAGTTTAGTAAATTGAGAGAAAGTGAACTATAGCATTTTGAAAGAACTCCCAGTCAAGCTGCCTAGGTTTCAATCTGAAATAATTATGGGCATGCTGTACATCTCACTTTCCTCTTAATGTAAATGAGAGTGGATAATAGTCCTGAGGATTAAATGAGTTGACAGGTATAGTCATTTAGAACAGTGACCCACAATAAAAAAAATTACCTGTCATTAATTCTCTTGCTAGTAATATTTGCAGCTACTTAAAATTTCCCCTTAAAGGAGCAGGACAAATAAGTTGGCTTGGCTTATTTTTAGACTGCTGAAAACACTGATCCAGTTATTTGTTGCCTTTACCGATCCTTGTATTTTAGGATCCTAATTAAAAGTTTGGGTTTTTTTTTTTACATTGATCTCCTTTAGATATTAATGATACCTTGTGTGTGCTAGTCAAGAGAGGATTTAAAGATGCAAAGAACAAAACTTGCTTAGACTAGAGATTTCCGTTTTAGTGCTGTGAACTCTAATACAGCGGCTCCCAACCACTTGTGGCATTGAACATTTGACATGTGGCTGGTCCAAATTAATGTAAAATACACACCAATTTTGAAGCACAAACAAGAACACAAGATATTTCAATGTATATTTTTTGATTTCATGTTCATAATTTTGGGCAAAATAGGTTAAATAAAATGTTAATTAACCTATTTCTAAAAAGAAATACTTTTAATGTGAACACTTCAATTATAAAATTACATTGGCAGCTCATATGATGGATAGCCCTGGTTTAATGAGTCAGACAAGTAATGACAGCTCTGTGGTAAGAACTAGTGGTGTAAACGAACTGCGAGAAAGCAGGGATGTACTTAGCTGGGTAAGAATGTCAAAGAAAACTTGAGGTATGAGGTAACATTTCCACTGAGCCCTGAAAACCATGTTCCTCAGACAGACGAGCTAGGGGTAAAAGTAGCATTCTAAAAATCTTGTTGATAACAACATGAGCTTTGAAGTGAGAACTCTACTTGAATTCTAGCTCTACTACTTGGTAACTATGTGACCTTGACTTTTGGAGAGGTTATTCTAACTTGTTCAAGTATGTTTCTTTATCTCTAAAAATGGTAACACTTCACTAGTTTCTTGTGAGGATTTAGTAGTACTAAATAATTTAGAACAGAAATACATTAAAGAGTGCTCCATAAATGTTAACTTTTATTTTCAAGTAAAGAAAATGGTGCTTTGAAAAGTACTAGTAATGGCGCTTGACCAAAAAGCCTTTGGGAAGCATTGGTAAGATGAGTTGGAACCAGAAAGATGGGCATGTTCCAAATTATAGTAGGCTAAGGCAATTCACACTTTATTTAGTGTAGCCCTAGGAGAAAATCAGGGGCTTCTAGTAGATTCGGGGTCAAATTCAGACTCTCCCCTTTACCATTGGTATCACCTCTGAACCTCAAGTTCTTCCCTGGAAGATATGACTGATGATAATCTGTGGGGGTATTGTGAAGAGGTAATGAGACAGCATATGAAGTTAGTTAAACACTTGTCCTGTGCTGAGCACATGGGAGATATTCTTTCATTGAAAACACTGATAATCTACTCTGTGCCTGACAATAGCCTTCAAAACAGCATAAATGTACTCTCTATGCCCTCAAAATATTCTGGATATGCAAATTAGTAACAGGAGCATTTTAATAACAGTTTCTAGAGGGTATAGTGGGAACACAATGCAAAGGTAAATGCAATTACTCTAAATTGGATCATCTTTTTCCAAGCATGTTTGACGGTAAACCAGCTATTTCATTGTTGTTCAGTGTCTACTAGAATATTCTCTTTTTTAAACTAATTCATGTTTTTGGCTTGATTGGTCTCCTTGACATCTCATGTGTACTCACACATACCTGTTATTTTCCTTTAAGTCTCTTTGAAAATCTGTCTACCACTTTATATATGTTTTTGAGAGCTCTTTTTGTATGATACATTGTAAAGGGAGGAGGGGGAGTCTCAGAAAGATGTTTCTAATCTACATCACATAACCTTCTTCAGGGAATTTGGTATAAAAGGACAAAGGTACCAAAATATATAGATAAATTATTTGTAGGTGGAGAGGGAGTAGGAGCAGGAGGAAATATCTAGGATAATCAATATTGAGGCATTGGAATATGAATTAGCCTCATCAACTTGATGGAATATTAGACATACATCAGAATGTGAGTTTGTTAAGAACAAAAAGGTGGAATGTTAAAACTATCTCACTGTGATAGGAAGCACGTAAGATTATAAATGCTCAGGGTTGACTAAAAGTTATTGATTAAAGCAGGATTACTAGTGCATTGGGTTGTTTTAGTATTCTATGTATGTATAATGAAAATGTCAAAGTATTAACATATTTTAAGCTCACATTTAGAAATAATTCTCTTTGTTAGGGATGGATTCGTTCAGTCCGTTCCCAGAAGGAAGTCTTGTTCCTGCATGTAAATGATGGATCGTGTTTGGAAAGCCTTCAGGTTGTAGCAGATTCAAGCTCTGACACTAGGTGAGGTTTTTGTTTTGTTTTGTTTTCCTTTTCCTCTGCTTCCCATTTTCCTAATCCACTGTTCATATCTCCTTAATAATCTTTCTAAACAAATCTGCTTTTCATAGCTATTTAGCTCCAGCCTGAATACCTTGGAGTCAAGATTCTTCAAGTTTGAGCCTTTCTTTCTTGATCTAACATCTTCACACGACTGTATCTTCTACCCATCCTTTGCTTTAGGCTCTCTTAACAACCTGCAATTCTTATATGTATATAAAATAGTTTATTTTTACATCATTTTGTGCATTTTTCCATTTCAGTTGTAATCCCCGTGGGCTTCCCATCACCAAATCACCATAGTGATCCCATCACCACATCACCATAATCCAGTGCATTTCCCTCCCCCCACTGTTTTTGATCCCATTTCCCACTCCACCCCCACAAAACGTCTGTGGTATATAGCTGTTCATTATTATTTTCCCGCTTGGTCCATTATACTCCTGCTATGAGTGAGACCATCCGGTATTTTTTTTTTTTCCTTTCGGCTTATTTCACTAAGCATGACCTTTTCCAGCTCCATCCATGTTGCTGTAAAAGACATGTGTTTATTTTTTTGATTGCTAAGTAATATTCCATTGTGTATATGTACCACATTTTTAAAATCCAGTCATCTACTTTTAGGACAACCTGCAATTTTTTTTTTTAAAGATTTATTTATTTGTGTATACAGAACTGGGGTGCAGGCCAGAGGCTCAGGGTCCGTGAGAGGCTTCACCAGAGACAGAGTGGGGAGCAGAACAGGCAGATGGATGAAGTACACTGCTGAAGGGAGCAGCGGGGGGCGGGTCAGGAGAGGTCTGCCACGCCATGTGGTCACCACCTGGGGCAGGCGGGAATTGAACTTATGCAGAAGTGGCTTTAGATTCTCAGTGCTGTGCTTTAACCCGCTGTGCCACCAGGGAGGGCCCACAACCTGCAGTTCTTAACTCGGTAAAAACTTTTGTCATGAAATAGTTTGATATTGAGAAAAAGTTTGTATTGGAATGAGGAGTTAACATATCTTGTTTATGCCAGGTTTTTTTTATTATTATTATTATAGAGACCTAGCTTTTGGAAGTTCTGTGGAAGTTCAAGGGCAGCTGGTAAAGAGTCCATCCAAAAGGCAAAATGTGGAACTGAAAGCAGAAAAAATTGAAGTTGTTGGAAATTGTGATGTCAAGGTATGCTTTCTGACACGTTTCTGGAGGCTGTTTAAGCTTAATTTAAAATACTAGTAGTCTGTTATAAATGTGATCATTGATAAGATGGCACTTAAACCATTCTTTGATTGTGACTTACCAGATAACCGAAACAGACCATAGAACCTGAGGAATATAGAGTGGCAAAAAATATGGATGTAGATGGCTTTGTCTGATAAGAGAGAATTAAGTGTTAATCCATACTTCGCAGTGTTTCCTGTCACAGTTGAAACTTGCTCACTTTCACTACAGAGACATACATGGCAAAACACATTCTTAGAGATTCTCTGCCTAGAAATGACTTTGATTCTTGCATGATCTAGAATTCTACTGTCCATTTTAGTATCCCCTAGGTCTGCCTATGGCTGTTTAATAGTAAATCAATTGAACTTAAATTAAAAAATTGAGTTCTTCAGTGGCATTAGCTATCTATGCTAATGCTTATTTGTAATGCTTGAATGAGCAAAGAAATTCTACATGAAGACTTGTTTATATCTGCTTTTTCAATACTCTTCTTCTGTTAGTAGCTTTTTATTTATAACCTCATAAAAAGTTAGAGGTAATAAAAACAAAGATTATCAATTCATTTTGTTAAATTACATCCAACCAGATGAAATGATTTTCAGAATCTTTTATTGCAGATTAAAGGCACAACTAAAATTTATATACTAGCCATTTCATTCTCCTGTGTTTTTGCTATACTTGTCTCCATGTATTGAACAGAAGGGGAGGAAATATAGGGAAATTGCAGCATTTAATTCATTTGGATAATTGGAATGAATTAACTGAAAGGTAATAAGAAATAACACAGGGTAAGTAAAATGGGTCATTCTGAATCTAATGGACCCCTAGAATTAGAAATTAGACTTCAATACCTATGGGATCTAGCAAAAGCAGTACTAAGAAGGATGGATACAGCAATACAGATCCACATCAAGAAACAAGAAATATCTCAAATAGATAACTGTATGCTCAAAGGAGTTAGAAGAAGAACAAATAAAACCAAAAGCTGTCATAAGGAAAGAAATAATAAAGATTCAAGTAGATATAAATGAAACAGAAATTTAAAAGGTAGTACAAAAGATAAATGAAACAAAAAACTTGTTCTTTGACAAGATAAGTAGACAAACCTAGTTAGGCTCACTGAGGAAAAAAAGGAGAAAACACTAATAAATAGAATCAGAAACGAAAGGAGAAATTATAACAGACATCTCAGAAATACAGAGGATCATAAGAGACTATTAGGAGCATCTATATGCAATTAATTGAATAACCTAGAAGAAATGGAAAAAATTTTAAGTACATAAAACCTTTCAAGACTGAATTAGGTAGAAATAGAAAACCTGAATCAACCAGTTTTAGCAAGGAAATTGAAACAATATTCAAAAGTCTCCCACAAAACATAAGTTCAAGATCAGATACTTTATTAGTGAGTTCTTCCAAAACTTCAAGGACAAACTATACCTATCTTTATCAAACTCTTCCCAAAAATTGAAGGAGAGAATGTTTAATGAGGCCAGCATTATGTTGATACCAAGAGCAGGCAAAGACATCACAGAAAAAGAAAAATGTATACCAGTATCCCTGATGAATGTAGATGCAAACATCCTCAACAGAATGTTAGCAAACTGAATTTCAGTGTTCATTAAAAGGATCACATGCCATGACCAAGTATGATTTATTCCAGGGACACCAGATAGTTCAACATATGAAAATCAATCAATGTAATTCACAGCATCAACCTATAATAGGAAAGATAAAAATCTTATGATCATATCAACAGATGCAGACAAAGCATTTGACAAGACTCAGCATCCATTCATGATAAAGTTATCAGTGAAATGGGGAAAGAAGGAATATACCTCAACATAATAAAGGCAATACATAACATATCCATGACTAAGATCATACTCACTGGTGAGAAACTGAAATCTTTTCCATTAAGGTAGGTATAAGGCAAGGATGTCCACATTCACTGTTAATATCCAACATAGTATTATACTCCTTCCTGGAGCAATTAGATAATAGAAAGAAGTAAAAAGAATCCAAGGTAGAAAAGAAATAGAACTATCACTGTTTGCAGACAGTATTACAATATACATACAAGAAACCCTAGACTCCTTTAGAAACATTAAAATGGTACAATGAAATTGGCAGGCTACAAAATCAGTGCAGAAGAATTTTACGGCATTCCTATACACAAATAATGAACTAGAAAGAAAAAAATCCTGTTGACAATCACATCAAATAGAAATCCATGCCAAGGAGTAAATTTAACAAAGGAGATGAAAGACCTATATAATGAAAACTATAAGATAAGATTAAACGAAGAAGAAGACACAAAGAAGTGAAAAAAAATAATCTTGAAAAATAACATTGTTAAAATGGCCATCATACCGAAATCATTATAAAGATAAAATGTGCTATTAAAGTTTCAGTGGAATTCTTCAAAAAAATAGATTAAACATTACTGAAATTTATATAGAATTACAAAAGCAGTCCTGACAAAAAGAAGCATAATATATCACATTCCCAGACATCAAATTATACTACACAGGTATAATCTTAATATAAACAGTATGGTACTGAGAAAAAAAAAAATAGACACATATATACAATGGAAGAGAATTGAGAGCCCAGAAATAAGCCCATATATACATGGACAGTTAATTTACAACAAAGTAGCCAAGTGTATACACTGGAAGAAAGAGAACCTTAACAAATCATATTGTGAAAGCTAGATAGCTATATGGAAAAGAATGAAATCACTACCTCACACCATTTACAAAAATTAACTCAAAATGGATTAAAGACCTCGATATAAAAGCTAAAACTGTAAAACAAGTAGAAGGAGTTATTTGACAAATTACTTCAGTGGTATCTTTGGGAACTAGAACAGTAAGGAGAACAAAAGTAAAAATAAATAAATTGGGGCTATATCAAACTAAAGGTCCTACTGAATGGGAAAAAATATTTATACATTATACATCTAACAAGATGCTAATATCCAAGATCTACCAAAAAACTCACGTTCAGTAAGAAACAAATAACCCAATTAAAGAATGGACAGTAGAACTAAATACATACTTCTCCACAGAAGACATATGGATGGCTAATAGGCAAACAAAAGGATGTTCATTGTCACTTATCATTGGGGAAGTACAAAACCACAGTTAAATATTTCTTATCTGTGAGACTGGCCCATCAAAAAAGATCAGGAAAAAACAAGTGTTGTGACGGTTTGGAGAAGGAACTCCCCTGTGAAAAATACTGAAGAGTTTTCTTTTTTAAATATTTATTTATGCATACAGAAATGGGGTATAGGCCAGAGGTGCAGGGGTGGTGAGAGGATTCAGAGACAGAGTGGGGAGCAGAACAGACAGATCAATGAAATACACAGCTGAGAGGAGCAGTGGGCAAGAGAGGAGGATCTGTTGTGCCTTGTGGGCTGGGATCCAACTTGCACGGAAGGGGCTGTGGCTAGCTTGCAGTGCTGCTCCCTAACCTATTGTGCCACTAGGGAAGGCCTAAAAAGTTTTCTTAAAATAGTAGAAGACCTACTGTGTAACAGTCAACTCCTAGGTATTCAAAGAATACAAAAATGCTAATTTAAAAAGGATATATCCACTTAGGTTCATTGTAGTGCTCTAGCCAAGCTATGCAAACAACCTCAGTCCCCAACAATAGATGAATGGACAACCAAGTGGTATACATACACAAACACACATACAAAATGGTATACTGCTCAGCTATTAAAAAACAAAAGATGAACTCTGACCATTAGGGACAAGATGGATGGAAATGGAAGGGGTTAGGCTAACTGAAATAAGGAGAATGATGACGAAGATAATGATGTTATTGATTTTGAATGTGAAGAAACTAAACCAATAGAAATCTGACTGCAGAACTGAGGCAAGCAGAGGGGGAAGCAGAGGTGTGGGGAGCAAAGTACGGGAGGGGGGTTCAATGGAATATGGTGGAGGATTATTGGGGCTTTTTGATGGTGGGCATGATATAGAAACATACATTTGAAGAGCTATGATCCTGTACCTCTAAATCATATACAGTGTTGTTATTCTGTATTACCTCAATAAAAGCAATGCAATTAAAAAAATTAGATTTGGCCCTCCCTGGTGGCGCAGTGGGTTAAAGCACTGCACTGAGAAGCTCAAGCCACTTCTGCATGAGTTCGATCCCAGCCTGCCCCAGAGGTGATCCACATGGCGAGGCAGACCTCTCCTGACTTGCCCGCTGCTCCCCTCAGCAGTGTACTTCATCGATCTGCCTGTTCTGCTCCCCACTCTGTCTCTGGTGAATCCTCTCACCCTCCGCATCTCTGGCCTATACCCCAGTTCTGTATGAATAAAATAAATAAATCTTTAAAAAAAATTAGATTCTAAGATTTCTAAAGAATAGACTGAAAATAATTTGGAACTCAGAAGAATGGAAATGGTAAATGTTTTTGGTTTTGCTTTTTTAGAGGGATATATGATCATTAAATTTTTAAAGATTTATTTTTGTTTATTTATGTATAAAAGAATTGAGGTGTAGGCCAGAGGTACTGGGGATAAGAGGATCCACCAGAGACAGTGGGGAGCAGAACTGGCCGATAGAACAGAACAGGCTGGAATACGCTGCTGAGGGGAGCAGCAGGCGAGACAGGAGGTCTGCTGTGCCATGTGGGTTAAATCCCAGGCTGGGGATCTGGATCAAACTCATGCTGCAGTGACTGGTGATAACTTCAAAATACTGAGATTTTAACCCCTAACTACCAGAGAGGCCTAATCATTAAAAATTTATCTTGCATTTTACTTTTCTTAAATTATTCCCCTTGTTAAAGTTGATGCTGTCACCTTCTTTTTTCCCTCATTTCAGTGTCATTTTTATATATTCAGGTACTGAGGGATTCTCAGTGCCTGCCATTCCTCAAATTCCTATTGATATGGTTATACTTCCATTTTGGCATGATTGTGTAAGTTTATTTCTATGATATATAAATCAGTATGCTCACAGGGCCTGAAGGGAACAGGCAAGACTAAAACAACCTAACAGTGTGCTTCTGTTATCTTTTGTTTTCTGTTATCTTTTTTCCTGAAACTTTAGTTTTTACCTGAATGTTTTTTCTGTTTTCTTACTGTTGTAACATGAGTGTGGACAGAGAGGAATATTTCGAGGTGGGGTTATAATTTACTTTAAAAGTTCTAAAGTAGGGGCCCTCCCTGGTGGCGCAGCGGGTTAAAGCACGGCGCTGAGAATCTGAAGCCACTTCCGCATGAGTTCGATTCCTGCCTGCCCCGGAGGTGACCACATGGCGAGGCAGACCTCTCCTGACTTGCCCGCTGCTCCCCTCAGCAGTGTACTTCATCGATCTGCCTGTTCTGCTCCCCACTCTGTCTCTGGTGAATCCTCTCACTCTCCCCATCTCTGGCCTGTACCCCAGTTCTGTACGAATAAATAAATAAATCTTAAAAAAAAAAGTTCTAAAGTACATCCTGCTCTGTCACATGACAAAATAAAGAGGAGCAGCTGACCTTCCCTCATGTTCTTAGCAGTACATGTTGATAAACAGTGATAAAAAGTGCCAATTGATTATGAATGATTGTGTGGTTTCAAGACATTTGGGTGATTTTAAAATCGAATGCCAGCTGTGTGTATCCAGCTACAGAAAACATAATCTTTAATTTCTGTAATACTCTGAATTCCTCCGTGCCAAACAGTGGGCTATTTTGCATAATTATATCCTATTCTGCCTGTTAGTAGTAATTAATAACTAGCAGATAGAAATTTGATCAATAACATTAATCTCAGTGGTACTAAGTAATAACTTTGCCTAAAGCTCCACAGCTAACAAGTAAGTACATACGGATTCAAACCCACATTTGTGATTCAACCCTGCCATCCTATAACTTGTTGGAATTAATGCGGACTGCATTCCATTATATTAATAAATGAAGGAAAATATCTTTGTTTTGTTCTAAACACTATTTAACAAATGCTTTGGAAAATGGCCTTATATAAACAGTATCTTACTTTTAGTGTTTACTAAAACACTACTTTTTCCATTTATTGGCAGGCTTTCCCTTTTAAATATAAAGAGAGGCATCCTCTGGAGTATCTGAGACAATATCCTCACCTTAGATGTAGGACTAATGTCCTGGGTTCTATATTGCGGGTTCGCAGTGAAGCCACGGCTGCTATTCATTCTTTCTTCAAGGTAAGGCACTTTGCTTCTAAATATTCTTTCTTGTGAAGAAGTGAGTAATTGTGCTCTAAAGTATTATCCTGAAAGTTGTTATATAAGTCCATTTTACTTTTTTCTCTAACTATAAATATGTACTGCTTTGTCAGATAAAGAGATAAAGAGAGGTGACTCTCCTTCCCTACTGTTCTTAGCAGTATTTGTTGATAAACAGTGATTTTAAATAAAGTGCCAGTTGATTATGAATGTTTGTGTGCTTTGTATCACTGGTTTTGAGCAATTTTATTATGATGTACTTTGGTACAGTTTCGCATGTTTGGAGTTAACATTGAGTTTTCTGGATCTGTGTATTTATGTTTCATCAAATTTTCTAGTCATGTCTTCACATTTTTTTTCTGTTACCTTCTTCCTTTGAAAACTTCCTTACCCATGTATAGGTTATTCCTGGGTAATATACTTGCTGATGCTCTTTTCTTTCTTTTTTAAAGTTCTTTTTCTCTGTGTTCTTCTTTTGGTTAGTTTCTATTGCCATGTCTTTAAATCTTACAAGGCCTCATTTATTGTGCATTTTTTGATCTTACACATTATTATAGGCTTCATATCTAGGTGTTTGGATTGGGCCTTTAAAAAAGTATCTTCCGGCCCTCCCTGGTGGCGCAGCGGGTTAAAGCACGGCGCTGAGAATCTGAAGCCACTTCCGCATGAGTTCGATTCCTGCCTGCCCCGGAGGTGACCACATGGCGTGGCAGACCTCTCCTGACCCGCCCACTGCTTCCCTCAGCAGTGTACTTCGTAGATCTGCCTGTTCTGCTCCCCACTCTGTCTCTGGTGAAGCCTCTCACCGCCCCTGAGCCTCTGGCCTATACCCCAGTTCTGTATGCACAAATAAATAAATAAATTAAAAAAAAAAAGTATCTTCCATATCTCTACTTTTTGAATGTATACATACAGTTTTAATAGCTGTTTAATAACTATGTCTTACATCCTTTTCTGCTTGTAACATGTCTGTCAGTCATGAGTCAGCTTTGATTTATTGATTAATCTCCTCATTATGGGTTATGTTTTTCTGACTCTTTGCATACCTGTTAATCTTTGATTGAATGCCAGACATTATAAATATTACCCTATTCGATTCTGGATATTTATAAAGCTGCTTAAACTTTGTTCTATAAACAGTTAAGTTACTTGAAAACTGCTTGATCCTTCTGGGTCTTGCTTTTAGTGTTTGGTAAGGTCTGGAGCATTGCTCTGTCTTGGACTTACTATTCCCCACTACAAAGGTATACATCATGAATACTGAGTGAGTTATGAGTTGTCTCAGTCTGACTTGTGGAAACAGGCACATTTTCCTGCCACATATAAGCACCATGCTTTGTTCCCTCTAATCTCTTTAGGTGGTTCTTTCTCTGATGTTGGATAGTTTCCTCACACACAAGAGCTGGTCAGTCATCTATCTAAACTACAATGTGACCCTCTAGGCTTTTCTATGTAGCTCTCTCCTCTCCGGCACACTGTCCTATAAACTCTAGCTTCTATGGTCTACTCAGACTCTTAACTCTGTCCTTGATTTGGGGCATCCCTTTTATTTATTTATTTTCCCCTTTTCATTCATTCCCCTCAAGGTAGTTAAAAGTGGGCTGCTGGTTAGTTTCACTATATTTGTTTCCTGTCTCTCAGGGATGGCTGTCTCTGATATTCAGTGGCTGGTAAACTATTTTTTCATGTGAATTGATTGTGGCCTTGTTTTGGGGTTTTGTTATTCGTTTGTTTGTTTAGTTGTTTGGTGGCTCCTATTTCTCCATCTTTGTCATAGACATTTTATAGAGAGTAAGCACTAGCTTGAAAGTTAGTGGTGTTGCAAAGTAGATTGATATAATAAAAGGGCATTTTTGTCTCAGTTAGCTTTGCTTTTCAGCCTTCTCTCCCACACAAGAAATTCACAGTGAAATATAGTTGTAAAATTGGTGAGATTAGGGAGCCCCCTCTCCATGGGGATGGGAGGGCCCAAAGACAAATAGTGACCCACAAATAAAATTCAGTGTTGTTTCATGTGAATTGGGAACTTTTTTTATGTGACTTCTCCAGATCAGCTCATTTACAGAAATGGTATAAGAGCATAGCATTTCTTGGGCTGCATCTAAATTCATGCAGTCCCAGCTCTGCTTTAGCACATGAAGAGAATTACTGCTCTTTGAAAAGTTCCTTTTGAGCTAATTTCTGGTGAAACAGCTAACGAATATTATGGCTTTAAAACATGCACTTTTGAATAAGCAAGGGAAAATAAATCACATTATACAATTTCATCCCAGTATAGTTTGAAAGAGTACATTTACATATGTTCTCATAAACTTCTTATGCAACTTCCATATGTCTTTTTGGTAGTGCCCGAACCACACAAATAGAAAATTTGTTCAGAGCTAAAAAAATTTTTGCACATATGAGTTTAACATCTGATAGGTAATAGGACCTGCTTTTATTCTGAAACAGTTGTATGGATTTCTGCCACTAGGTGGTGGTATCAGCAATCTATTGGCCGGTGGCCTTTATTGAAGCTTTGTATAAAAGGCGAAAAAACTCAAACATAAGAGAATGAGCTAGGAAAAATTCAAGTAAAAAAATCAAAATAAGTAAAAGTTTTAAAACATTTTAAGTGGTTGAAAATAACTGGATTTTTAGTACTACTGTAAATTCACTTTTTAATTATAAAGCCCTAAAAATTATAATCCTGATACCTCCTTCTATCATGTTACCCACTTGTGTGTGTGACATAGTGGGATGAATTGTTTAAAGAAGTCACTGGAGTACTATAGAACATAATAAATAATAGTACAAGTTACCTAGTATTTGGAACCATTTCTGTAAATTGTTACTTTAGGTTCCTCAAAAAATGTTAAAGCTTAAAATGTGAAACTTCCGTATATTTTAAATACATCAATGCACATCTAATAGAGATCTGAGAAAAAATAGAAACTTGAACTAATAACTTTTAGTTAGGCTTTCTGAAAGACCTAGAGTTATTTTTTGGTTTGAATTTCAAAGATGTTGTCTATAACTCATAAAATTGACATATTTACTATGTCACTTAATATATGACACTAGAACGTTCATAGAATAAATTACTTAGAACTGAGTTTCTTAAAAAACTGAAGATTGTCTCTTTAGATACCAGTTTTTCCTAATGTAATTTCTTCATATGTAGTAATATGAGTTAACCTTGTTATAGGCTTTCTATAGGCTGGGTTACTTGAGTGCACTTTCCCCAGGGGATACAGGGTGTGTATTACTATCTTCCTGAAGTCAGGGTGTTAACTAAGTGCTACAGTCAGATATACAGAGATGAGATCGTCAGTAGGAAGAAGGTGGCCACATTTTGGAGGTTTTTGTGGTTGTTTTTCTACTTTCCAGTGGAGTAACTCAACTCTACATTATATACTTTTCTGGCATCTTAAATTGTGCAGAAGAAAAAGAGTTTGCCCTTTCCTGATGAGTCAGGTTTTCTTCCTTTGAGTATCTCGTTTTTGCCCTTTTACTTGTAGCAGTATTTTCAAAATCTGTGGTCAGGTGTCATAGCCTTTGCCCCTGTGTGGAATGACCCCAGATTGCTGTGCCTTTGAGTTCCTGTAACAGCTTCGTATGGGTTGTCATTTGTTTTTTTTTATCTCCACTCCTGTCACTTAATGTCACTTAATATTGTGTCTGTGACTAGCTGTTGCAGTCATAGTTGATTCTGATTAAATAATTGATACTTATTGGGGGAGGGGGAATGGACAAGAAAATTAAAGTCCATAATTCTTTGAATGATGACGATGGACTTTAGTATGAGAATTTTCTAATTTTCAGAAATTAAAAATCATTGCCTTATAAAATATCTGATCCTAGAATATGTGTGTCAAAATATGTAGCTATTTAGTGATGGAGATTAGAACTTGAAAATTTGGGTCAAAGTATGTACTTTATTATTTTTGGCCCCTTCTCTGCTCTGCATGGGTCTAGTTAGGAACCCCTTTATGTGCAAAGGGTTAAGTTCCTGCCCCAGTAGCCCACTGCAGACACCTGCCAGCAGTACGCTACCATTCCTTGCTCTGTCCTCTCTACCTTTCCACTTTCCTCTCCAGTTTCTCTTTTTGGGACTTTGTTCTCACTGCCTCATTATTCTTTTGTACTCTCTCTTTTATAGCTTTCAGTGGTCATTTCGATTTGATAAACCTTGTTAGCAGCCCTAAGGCTTGAAAAGCTGGTGACAATTTTAAAAGGAGCTGACTTTAGTCAACTACTAAGAATAATTCCTACAATAGTGATTTAAAAAAATATTTGGTTGTTTTCGTAAGTTGTACAATGTTATTTCTTGTGGCAGTTGACTAGTTCTAACTTTGGCAATTAAGTTTAGCCGTTAAAATTTCTTCTCCCTCCTCCTTCCCCCTTACTACCCCCATTTCCTTTGGATTTTTCACTTCCTCTCTTTGTTTATTGCACTCATGCATCACAGTTGCCTGCATTCATGTGGAATAAATGATTCATGTCCATAGTACTTGGCTCCTAGGAGATAAAAATTTTATGCAGTAATGTTATTGATTATATTTCATTTGTTCTCTATAATGTGCTCTATGCACACTTCTAGGCATGTTGCTCCCAGATTGGGTTTATATTTAAATACTTTGTGAAACTCTTAATTTATAGCTTGAACATTTAATCAGTTTACATCATAAAGCGTGTTGTTGAATGGATACTTTGTATCTCAGCCAGAATATTTGAATTCAAACTTTTAGGAAGGAAAGGACAAATATGGGAGACACTGAAGACATTTTACAATCCTCTAAATGACAAGCAGAATTTAGCAGAGGTATTTGTGTGAGTTTATTGTATTGATTTCAATAGCAAAATTGTATGTTAAACACAACTTCATTGCAACTTTATTTACTTTAGTGATTTCTACCTTCATCCTGCAACATATAGGTGAAATAGAGATTCTTACCTGCATCTGTAATCAAAATGAACTAAGATAACCTTGAAGTTGCTGATTTATTTCACTCCCGCTAGATACTGCTTTGTGGTTCACTAATGGAAATAGACTCAGGAGAGGAAGAATTACTGTTAGGTGCCTCAGCAAAGGATGGATTTGCTGCTCAGAATCTCCCTGAGACGAAGGCCATGCACCCCTGTGTCCTGTGCAGTACTGTACCACAGACTTCCTGGAAGCCGTTTATTTCTTTAGTCCCTATTTACCAGTCTTTTTTCTTTTTAGTGGTTTGTTACGATTGAGGGTCTCATTCCAAAATAACTAACTGTGGTATTGATGACCTTATAATCCTTTAGCAGTATGGGCTACATCATTATACACTATCTTTGAGAGAGAGGATGCGTGTGTTTGTATGTGTGTATGGGAGTCATTACATGTGTAGATAGGTGGGGAAAAAAATAGCACAGTAGTGGAATGCTGACTCTGCAACTGTGTAATTTATTGTACTTCACAATATCTCTGGGCCTCAGTTTCCTTATCTTTGAAGTAAAGAGATATGACTAGATACATTTAAGTTTGTTCTTGAAAGATTCCTGGGCATACATCGTAAAACACTCAACTGATCATTCATTAGTTTTATTTGGGGAGTGAGAGAGAGATTTGATATAATATTACAATATAATAAGGTGTATGTGCTTGGACTTGATTCATATGCAAGCATACTGAAAATGTGTTGTTGTTGTTTTCCAGGACAGTGGCTTTGTGCATATCCATACTCCAGTAATCACATCTAATGATTGTGAGGGGGCTGGAGAACTTTTTCAGGTTGAAGTAAGTTGTACTTCCCATCTTGGGGGATATCTTGCTCTGATAACTTTCATCTGAGGGTTTTGCTTTAAATCGAATAAAAATTGTGTGACCCTTTAAAAATGATTAACAATAGGTGACAATTCCATAAAGTAATGAATCCTTTTTCCAAAAGAACACTACATTGTACAGTTTCTACAATGGCAAATGCAGCACTTTCTGCCTGCTTCTGTCTGTCCAACATCATCTTCCCCCTTTTCCTGATAAATCTCCCTTTTAAAATGTTAAAAGAAAAAAATGTGATTTGGCTATGACTAGAACATGAAATTTTGTCAATAGTAATGCTTAAAAATATTTACGCATATAGAAAACTCAGACCTCTCTGATTTCCTGTCCTATGGCTGTGTTGCTTACATTATGCTAAAAGGTGTAAATTTTTCATTTAGTACTCTATTTGCTTTTCTTATGTTACTGTGAGTGAATGAACTAGAGCAATTTGAAAAGGTTAATAAAATTATAGGGCATGTTTTGTGTAAAATCAACCCCAATTAATATTTTGGATGTATTCTATATAATACATTATTATATATACACATTATATAAATGTATATACATATAAATTATAATGGAATTTATTTTATTATAAATAGAATATATAATTAAAGTAGAATAGTATACATGTATTTTCTTTCTCACAATCTTTTTAAAATACTTTTTTCATAAGAAAGTGATGTTCATATATCTCATGAATGCTTAGTTTAATTCTTCATTCAACAATTAATAATTTAGCTCTTAGTGTGTGTCACACTGTCAGCCTGCCCTTGTTGCAAATAATATAATAGTTATCAGTTTTCGTCGTTATAGACATTTGAGAGTCTGTCATTTGTTAATTTGATTACTTTTAAAAATCATGGTAGTATAATAGTGAACAGGAAGAGCTAGGTTGGTAACAGGTGTTTTTGTGTTTCTTTCATTTATTTTCCGATGTCTTTATCTCTAAGAAGTAAAAAACAAAAAAAATTTTTTATACATTTGGGTTATTTCACCTCATGAGAAAACTTGTTTACAGGTCTGACTGGTATCTCTGATTCAATATGTTCTGACTATAATAATGAACAAAATATTCACTGGGACAAGTTGTCCTGTTATGTTAAAGTCATTATTCAAAATAATAGTGAAATACTATTTTTCTTCATACATAGCTTAGTGAAATCTTGATGATAGCGTTCTGCAAAAGACAGAATCAAAATGTTAAACTTTTAAATTGAGAGTATTTACAGCAAATGATAAAACAACAACCTATAAAGTGTTAAAAATTTCTCAAGAAATTTATTTTCTTTTTCCACCTCAATATTCTTCTAAATATTGAGGTGAAAAAAATTACACATCTTTAATACTTGTTTGTAATCCTTTATTCTGTTTTGTTGATCTGTCTATATTTGTGAGTGGATTATAATACACTGGTATTATTTGCCATATCTCTCTTTAGCTCTGGTGGTAATTGACGGAAAGATCTTGGTACTCCATCATTGCGGTTATATATTTATGAGTTTATTCTTGTTGTATTAAGACCTTAATTAGAATGTATTGTTCATCTCTCTCTCTAACTTTTTTATTGGAAGATTGTTTTATCAGATAAAAGTACTGTTCCTTGATTACCATTTGCTTATAGCATTATCTTTCAGCTTTTAAGTGTGCTCCTCTTTGTTGATAATGTGAGTTTCTTGTAAACTGTAGAAGGTTGGACTTTGTTTTGAAATCCATTCAGCCACTCTACACCTTTTGAAGGATGAATTGAGGTCATTTACTTAATTAAGTAATTAAGTTAATTAACTGCACATTGATATATTGTTACTTTGGGGTTTGTTTCTTTGTCTCTTTTTATTTTCCAACATTTTCTTTTATGTTTTGTTTGGTTTCATTTCCATTTTCTTATGTGTTACAACTATTGATTTTTCTTGTTTGAAGGTACCGCTGATGTTAATATAAAATACATTATTTATGTGAGTTATTATACAGTCTGATCTCAAACTTGTTACTGGGGCAGTCTGATCTCACATTGTTACTTCTGTCCTCCTTTATCTTATATAACTTAGGTGCCTAAGTTATATAAGATAGGTTACCATTATATTTTTGTTCCATTGTTTTACAATAGCCCCTTTAGTAGTTTTTCATACCTGACTTGGTCTTAATAAATTCTTTGTTTTTGCTTTTCAGTGAAGCTCCTTACCCTTATTTTTGTCTTGAATGTTAATTTTTTTTAGAGTAAACGATTTTAGGTTAGAAATCTGTTTCTTTGAGTACTTTAAATATTGTCTGCCATTGCCTTCTTGCTTGTAGTGCTTCCACTGAAAAGTCCTCTGACAGTCTAACTAGCATTTTCTTATAGGTTACCCTTTTTCTTTTGTAGTTTTGGCATTCTACTAATGTCACTGACTTTGACCAGTTTTATTATTATCTTGGGGGTTGTGTGTCTGTTATTTTCTTTTAAACTGTTTGGGCTTCTTGAATCACACTGTCTGGTCCATTTTCCAGATTGAAGCTTGTTCTTAAATTTTCAATGCTTCTCTTTCTTGAATCTCCATGATATTATATAAAAGTCCTTTATTTTACCCCAAGGGCTTTACACTATTATCATTTTTTATTCTTTTTCTTTGTTGTCTTATTTCTGTTGTCCAACATTGTGCTTTTGAGATAACTAATTTTCTTGCTTTTCTCTACTGTTAAAGAACTCTGTTGGTTACAGTATTTTTCAGGTCTATTATTCTAATTGTAAATTTATAATATATCTCTTATTTTCTTAATCTTTATTCTGTTTCTATTTTATATCATCCTTTGGTTTTTGAGTTCTGATACCACGAACTCTTCTTGAAGTATATCCCACAGTTCTGCTGGTTTGGGACTCCTCTCAGGATTTGTTTGCTCCATCATTTGTAATAGGCCTAGACTTGGACTGCTGCCTTTGCATTGGTTGAAGTGACTGGAGAACTGGGGTTGTGGCAAGGGTAATAGAAAAGACCCTGGGCAAAGAACACTGGCTTTGTGGTTGAGACAGGGTCACACACTCTGGAGTTGTTATCTTTTCCAGTGCAGACCTTTATCCTGGCAGTTTGTGGTTAGTGCCTTGTGTGTTAACAGGTGTTAAACTCTAGTTAGTAGAAGTGTTCAGTTGCCTCAGTTTTAGCTAGGGGAGGGGGTATGGCAGGTGTTTTGAATATCCAAGCCCCAGGCTGCAGTTGCTAGCTTCCTTTGAGTAGAGGCAAAGGTAACCTGACCTGGTTCCTGAACAGGTTCTCTACTGAGAACTCTTTTACATTGGGAGCTTCGGGCTCAAAGCATTCATTAACTTTGCACCCCTGCACCTCTAGTTGCACCCCAACTCTCTGCACCCCTATATCCTACATAGTCCAGGGTCCTCAATGACCTATGTGTGGGTATATTCCCCGAAACAACAACTGCAGGGACATTCCATATACTAGCTTCCCCTCTCATGGGTTATACTGCCCTGTAGTCTTGTAAACACGCTTCCCTGGAAATTGTTGTTATCCCTTTCTGCTGGACCATTGCTCCTGATGTGTGCTGTAGTTGTCCATTTATCTTTCAGCGGTTGTTGATTTTGTTCTGCTATAGTTGAGTTGTGAGTACATGGAGGAGATGAACCCAGCATCTTCACTCTGCAGCCTTTTTGCCAGATTCTCTATAATCCCTTAATCTAAACTTCTGCAAGTTAAAAAATAAATGAAAGAGAAGGAAAGGTATAATTTTTAAAAGTCTTGTAATTAAACAAGCAAAAATACTTGTAACAAGCATAAAAAATAACTGCTTTCCTAGCAGGGAAATCCATAAAGCAGGTCTGGATGAATATAATGTGTGTATTTTGGCCTCTAAACACCGTAAGACAAATTACAAATAAGTATAAGTACATAGGAAGAGAAAAATATCTATTTCTAAAGCTAAACAAATGAGAAGTAGTCCGCATTCCTAGTATTCAGAGTACCAGTAAGATGCTTTTGAATTCACTGATCCTGAGCCCCTGCAGTCAGAATCTCAATCAGGTTTTAGCAGTGTGTGGCTTTTATGCTATGACCTGCTCTTTTTGTTGCTTTTAAAAATGTTTCGCTCCTATGACTTGACTTCTGCTTCTCCCAGTGCTCTGTCCTTTGAAAGCAAGCTTCGTTATTCACACCTTAGACTCCTCTGTACTGCTAGGTTCCAGTGGATTTCCTCCTGACTGCCTCTAGGACAATAGGGGTTTGAATCTTGGCACCTCACTTTTAGGAGAACATGACATTTCATATTTAAGTTCTTCTCCTAATAGTGCTCATTTTTGCTCTCACAACAATGAAGTGTCAGTAACTATTTAAAGATAATCTACACCCTGAACGCACCCAATCTTGCCTGATCTTGGAAGTTAAGCAGGATCCTGCCTGGTTAGTACTTGGATGGGTTACTTTTTAAAGATAATCTACACCCTGAACACACCCAATCTCGCCTCATCTTGGAAGTTAAGCAGGATCCTGCCTGGTTAGTACTTGGATGGGTTACTATTTAAAGATAAGTCCTACACCCTCAGGTTTAAGGCAAAAGTTTGAGGTCACCATGAAATGCATGTAAGAATAAACACCTATCAGTATGTTGTTAAGTGAATTCATGTGTCATCATTTTAGTTTTCTTTTTCCTTGTTTCCATTTCCTACTTTAAAACTTTGGATACTTGTTAAGGTTTGAGAATTACTGAATACATATGTAGGAAGTTGTGTTCAGAGACACTCATTTGTTATTCAGCAGACATTTGGTTCCATCTGTGTTCAAAACGCTGTGCTAAAATATAGTTGGGGTTCTGGCCTGTAAGCTGGTTAGTTGGCAGGGGTTGATAAAGAAAGGAACATGCTTTTCTTTCACTCTTTATTTTACTTTCCCACAGTATTTCTTGGTTGTATACATTTCCTTTTTGTCTTATGGCCCTAGCTGAGTCCCCGCTCTTATGTCTGGCCTTTACAATTCTGGAGTAACTAGTTTGTCTCT